ATTAAAGGCATGAGTAAATCCTTTCGTTTTCAAGGAATGCAAAGATTTTCGGATATGCAGGGAGTGCAGGAAAAATGTCCATTTTCTGCATTTAATTGTACGGAAAAAAAGAAAGAGAAAGAGAGAGAAAGAAAAAAGAGAGTGAGGGAATGAGAGAGAGAGAGAGAGAGAGAGAGAGAGAGAGAGAGAGAGAGAGAGAGAGAGAGAGAGGAGAGAGAGAGAGAGAGAGAGGAGAGAGAGAGAGAGAGAGAGAGGGCGAGAGGCGAGAGGCGAGAGCGAGAGAGCGAGAGAGCGAGAGAGCGCGAGAGCGAGAGAGAGAGAGAGCGCGAGAGCGAGAGAGAAACTCTTGTCCTTACGTAACCAGGAAGGAATGAGGTACGCAATCATAACTTGGAAGAAGTAAAGGACACCGGAGACCGGAAGAGGAGGAGGGCGGGACGGAAGCGAAGGCAGGAAGTCACCTGGAGAGGGGAGGCGAAGGCAGGAAGTCACCCTGGAGAGGGAAGCGAAAGGCAGGAAGTCACCCTGGGAGAGGGGAAGCGAAGGCAGGAAGTCACCCTGGGAGAGGGGAAGCGAAGGCAGGAAGTCACCTGGGAGAGGGAAGCGACCTGGAAGGGAAGCGAAGGCAGGAAGTCCCTGGGAGAGGGGAAGCGAAGGCAGGAAGTCACCCTGGGAGAGGGGAAGCGAAGGCAGGAAGTCAGGGAGAGGGAAGCGAAGGCAGCTGGGAGAGGGAAGCGAAGGCAGGAAGTCACCCTGGAGAGGGGAAGCGAAGGCAGGAAGTCACCCTGGGAAGGGGAAGCGAAGGCAGGAAGTCACCCTGGGAGAGGGGAAGCGAAGGCAGGAAGTCACCCTGGGAGAGGGGAAGCGAAGGCAGGAAGTCACCCTGGGAGAGGGGAAGCGAAGGCAGGAAGTCACCCTGGGAGAGGGGAAGCGGGCAGGTCACCAAGAGCCACTCCCCTGGGAGAGGGGATTTCACCTTGGCTTCACCCTCACCCTGGGAGAGGGGAAGCGAAGGCCTCACCCTGGGAGAGGGGAAGCTCACCCTGGGAATGGCTTGCTTTCGCTCGTCTAGGAAAGGATGCTTTCAGAGGAGCATGGCCGGCAGGGCACCCGAGATCAGGGAATAAGCCGTTCCTGCAGAAGATATTGGGACTTGAAGGAACAGAGTGGGACTCGAAGGTAGTAAGAGCTGCAGGGAAGGCGAGGCCGATGGAGATACGCGGCCGCGGCGGGTCTTCTCCCGGAAGTTGCTGGGGCTGAACGGAAATTACTGTTGGGTTCCCGAATTGTGGCGGCTGCTCTGGTCACTGCGGCTGGGGCTCTCGCTGCTGCAAAAGGCTGCGCTGTTATTGTGCTTTGCTTCTGTATTTTGATTCTGGCAGGAAAGGGAGGGGTGATGGAGGGTGCAGGAGAGATGATGATGAAAGATTGGAAGGTCGAAATCGGCAGAAGAGGTGAATGATAAATAAGGTTCAGGTAGATTATATGAAGATAACGGAGAGAGAAGAAGAATGATAAGAAAGGGAGGTGGGATGAAAAAGATAGGTTATGGAAGAGATAAAATATTGAAGATGAACTGGTGGAATAGAGGAGGGAGGGTAAACACACTCAAATACTTAAAGAAACAGTGAGTCCTAATATAATTTGTGTATGGATCACAGCATCATCTACCCTGGAAAATGACCCAATTAGAGTTGCTGCTGGCTACGGATAATCAAGGGAACGGGAAGAAAGTAGTGTTGGGGAGAATGAGGAGAAATTCAGGGAAAGGAGAGATAGAAAAAAATATATAAGAATGTTGGAAATTAGGAGAGAGCATGGGGAAAAACATCGAAACAGGAATGTGAGCAGATACCCGTGGAGGAGCCTGGGGGCCGAGGGGGTCCTACAAACAGCACAAGCATCGGCCGGAGCGAGGGAACATGCATGCGTGCTTGCACGTCCTGCAGCGAAGGCCCGACCAGTGATATACTGGCGAGAGTCCCAGTGTGCTGGTGTCCCGGCCCGGCTGGACAGATGTCACGGACTCTCCTATTCGATTAGACTTCTGATCGACGGCCGTTTGCGCAGCGGCTGTTCCGACGCCGCGGCGGAGGGGCAGGGAATGGCCAAAGCAAAGGGAGGAGTTAGTAGGATTAGACAGTGTAGGATTTTTCATATGTAGATGTGGAATAGGAAGTGCATATTTGCATGATAAGAAAGGGGGGAACGCAAGCTTGCATGAGATACGAAAAGCATTGATATTCGGCGGCTAAAAGGAAGCGGGGAAAAGGAACGTAGAAACAAAAGGGAATGAGTTAATTTCAGAATATTCCTCAGTTCACAAAATTATATAGGGAATAGAGTACAAATATAGGTCTTTACAGAAACAATAGAACAAAACCAAGCAAACAAAAGAGAGGCAGAACAGAAATTATGAAATCCCTCGAGTGAAGCAGCCGAGGTGGGATGTCTGCAGCGGATGGAGCTCGCGGCCCGAGGAATGGCCCGAAGACCGCCGCCGCCGCCGCGGTGGGAGCGCGCGGGAGGAACACAGGAATGCACTCCCGCGCCGGCCGGAGGAGCAGGTGGCAGAGGGCAGGGCTCGCGAGGGAGGAGGCGCACGTCGGCGAGGAAGGATGGCCTGGGAGGGAACTTGAAGCATTACTCTAAAGATTTAGGAGTGTCGCCTTCTTTCTCACGGGCGAGGATTTTCAAGTTTATGGCCGGTCGTTCGGAGAGGGATAATGTTTTTCTCCGATTTAGCGAGAAACCGATGTGTAACGGAGCGTTTGCGTCCCGGGAAGAGACCGAGGGACGGTTTCGAGGCGTGGCCGGCTCTTTGCCTTTACTCTTAGTTACTGTGGCCGAAAAAAACACGTGGATGTTCAGTCAAAATGTTTCAAAAATGTTGCAGTGCTGTGCATATCATAGGAAGTATAGTTATTGGATGTTTTTTTATGTCTTTATCTCTCTCTCTCTCTCTCTCTCTCTCTCTCTCTCTCTCTCTCTCTCTCTCTCTCTCTCTCTCTCTCTCTCTCTCTCTCTCTCTCTCTCTCTCTTCTCTCTCTCTCTCTCTCTCTCTCTCCCGTCTCATCACACGCACACATATTTATTTTTATATATTAATGTGCCTAAGCGCGTGCTGAATGGATCCAATAACTGCAACTTTTTTCGCGACAGACCTTTCAGCCGTTGCGGCTCATGTGGGCCTATCTTCCCCAAATAAGCTATATGTTTTTTTTCCGTAGAGAAAGAAGAAATTTACTCGTAAATATTTTCGATGAGATCTGAAGAATTACTTGGATGGGAAAGTAGGCGAGTTCATGTTTTTTTCAGTTTTCAGTCACATTCATTCATTCACGCTTTAATATATTTAATAAATGACTGGATCAGATGCGAGTATCACTGAGGGAAAGAGGTGGCAAGTGCATTGATAAGTATGATGCGAACCCTCGACTGGAGCTGGGAATTATTCCCAGCAGAATTATTCACTTTCGCGGACTAAAAAGATTCGTGCATGCGTGTATGCAGGCGGTCAGGAACGACTGGTTGGTGGGTCTTAAGAGACAGGTGGGTTACCGGGGTCAGGTGGGTCATGAGGGACAGGTGAGTCACAGGGGACGGGTTGGGTCACGGGGGACGGGGGAGTCACAGGGGACGGGTTGGGTCACGGGGGACGGGTGGGTCACGGGGAACGGATGGGTCACGGGGAACAGGTGGGTCATGGGGAACAGGTGAGTCACAGGGGACGGGTGGGTCAAGGGGAACGGATGGGTCACGGAGGACAGGTGCGTGAGAGGAGGGTCAGGTGGCATGCGATGAGCTGTGCCACGACGTGACCGAGGCACGTTTGCAGGGTTTAGGCAAAGCTGGACCGAAATGTCCTTTATTCATGAAAGCTGCCGATACTCTCCCTCTCCTTATCCCTCTCCTCGGCTTCCTCTCTCTCTCTCTCTCTCTCTCTCTCTCTCTCTCTCTCTCTCTCTCTCTCTCTCTCGTCTCTCTCTCTCTCTCCTCTCTTCTCTCTCTCTCTCTCTCCTCTCTCCTCTCTCTTCCTCCCTCCTCTCCTCCTCTCTCCCTCCCTCCCTCCCTCCTCCCTCCCCCTCCCTCGCTCTTCCTCCCTCCTCCCTCTCCTCTCTCTCTCTCTCTCTCTCTCTCTCTTCCTCCTCCTCCTCCTCCTCCTCCTTCTCCTCCTCCCCCCTCCTCCCTCCCCCTCCCTCTCCTCCTCTCCTCCATCCTTCTCCTCCGGCCTCTCCCCTCTCTCTTTCTCTCTCTCTCTCTCTCTCTTCTCTCTCCTCTCTCTTCTCTCTCTCTCTCTCTCTCTTCTCTCTCTCTCTCTCTCTCTCTCTCTCTCTCTCTCTCTCTGTCTCTCTCTCCTCTCTGTCTCTACTCATCTCTCCCTCTCTCTCTCTGTCCTCCCTCCTCTCCTTCTCCCTCTCTCTCTCCTCCTCCTCTCCTTCGTCTCTCTCCCTGTCTCCTCCTCCTCTCTCTATTGCTCTCTCTCTCTCTTCTCTCCTCTCTCTCTCATCTCTCTCTGGCTCTCTCTCTTCTCTCGTCCTTCTCTCTTCTCTCTCTCTCCCGGCTCTTCCTCCTCGTCTCCCTCCCCTTTCGCTCCCTAATTCTCCGCTTCTCCGTCCCCGTCCTTCGCTCCTTCCCTCCCTTCCTCACTTTCTCCCTTGCCCCTCCTCCCTGCTCACTTTGTGTAATTGTAGTTTGGTGCCAAGAGTGTTCGTTCAGAATGCAACTGATATCGCGGTTTTGTTTCTGTCAATTTTGCAAGGAAGATGAGTATTGATGTGCCGATAGCCATGCGAAGATATAGCGTCGATTTTTTCTCCCTACAATCGCCATCAGTCTAGTATTCTAGCAATGGGTGTGATTGCTATTAATGTTACTCCTCTGGGAAATACTACTTGTACTTGACTTTATTATTATTTTTAGTTTTTTTGTTTCTATTAGTGTTATTGTGACTGTTATTTTGCTCTTTGTGGTGACGTCATTTGTTTTGTCTCCCGCAGGTTGACGGACGCGGGAGAGCGACGGCGCACGCGCGAGGACCGGCAAGCTCTGCAGCCCCTCGACCTTAACTCAGTCCATGTGAGTTCTCATTAATTTTTTTTCTCCTGGTTCGCGTACACCCATCCGCCCATCAGACGCACACGCACACGGACATGCACATACTCTCTCTTTGACACGCATATACACTCACCCAGTCTCTCACTCTCACTCACTCACTCACTCACTCACTCACTCACTCACTCACTCACTCACTCACTCACTCACTCACTCACTCACTCACTCACTCACTCACTCACTCACTCACTCACTCACAGACACGAGAGAGAGAGAGAGAGAGAGAGAGAGAGAGAGAGAGAGAGAGAGAGAGAGAGAGAGAGAGAGAGAGAGGAGAGAGAGAGAGAGAGAGAGAGAGAGAGAGAGATGCACACATATAAGGCCATTTATTTTACGGATGTTTATCTTTCTTTTAACGCACTTTTGCCTTTTTGATGCGCATTATGCACTCAATCGCCCACAACGACTTTCCTTGCCCCGGATTGCCCTTCGCCTCGATAGTTTCCAGGTGAGACGTCGATTACCTTCGCCTCCATTGCCTAATTGATCGAAGGCTCTTCCCTTGATCGAAATATGCTCGCTCAAAGGATCGTTCGGCCGTTATTACCAGGTCAGATCCGGCCGCTCGTTCTCACCCCCTTCGTCGAGTTTTCCGTTGCTTTTCGTTCGTTGTTCAGGGATGTTCGGTCGTGACGCGGATGGTCTTTAGGCGCGATGTGTGTCGTGGGCGGAGATGGCGGGTGGTTCCTTTATTTGGTGCGAGACCTCGTAGATTTTCGGTTTTGTGTTAGGCGTAATCAGCCAGTTTCATATATTTGCCGGTTTATGTATTTGTGTTTAATTATTGTTTGGATATTTAGCATCCGAGCGTTAAATATCCCAGCGCAGCGCCATGTCGCAGAAGGAGAGGGCTGAGGGTCGCCAGGCCGGCCGCCCTTGGTCCTCGGGCGCCCCCGTCCGCCGCAGCCCCTCGCCAGGAGGAGCTCGACCGCCGGCACAGACAGGCCAATTTCCGCGGCTCCTGGGCTCGCCGGCATCGATCAGGGCAAGGTGGAGTGTTTCGGGGCCGGGTGCACCTACGGAACGGCCGTGTGTGTGTGTGTGTGTGTGTGTGTGTGTGTGTGTGTGTGTGTGTGTGTGTGTGTGTGTGTGTGTGTAGTGTGGTGTGTGTGTGTGTGTGTGTGTGTGTAGGCGCGCGCGCGCGTTTTTTGTTGTTAGATGTAGTTGTGAATTTGTTTACGAGTGCGTGTACCGGTACGTGTGTGTTCGTGGACGTGAGTGTGCTTGAGCTTGTGCGCGCACGCACGCTTCCTTGGCGAAGTCATTGTGAGTGTGAGCGGCCGCCTCACGCCCACTTGTACGTGGCAACAGACAAAATGATAATTACGGAAGACGCGTGCTGATAGCACCCTCGGCGCTCTCCAAATTACCAGTAAAAAGCTACTGCAATAATAAAAATGATGTAAGAAGCCTCGTTGCTCTCCGCCTTCCTCTCGCAAGGGAACGAGTTTCTGTTTTAGCTGGACCTGAAATTCGGAGGAGAGTACTTCCACGCTGCAGCACACGCACATGTCCCACACACACACGCACACACGCAACGGCACACGCCACACGCACACGCACACGCACACGCACACGCACACGCAACACGCACACACCACACCACACGCACACACACACACACACACACACAACACCAACACACACACACACACACACACACACACACACACACACACATTTATGCCTTCACCCTAGGTATTTGTTTTTTTTTCTATATGTTTACGATACACCTTTTGTATTTTGTCGTGGGAATACTCTCGGTTTTTTGTGTTTGCTGTTTTCCATTTTTACGCTCCGCTTGTTTGAATTCCACAGAGTCAATTTCCAGAACGAAACAGGCGGGTCAGAAATTGTTTGCTTATATTTTTTTATATTTTGTTTGATATAATTCTTTGCTTATTTGTTTGTCGTATCCATGGAATCGATGGAATGATTTTTTATGGTGTATATTCTCTTGTTATTTGTCATTCTCACTGCGGTTTACTTTAGCTCACCTTGGGGCTCTCACGTAACACTACTAGCTATGAGCACAGGCGATCTTTTGCGGCGGAGGGCGCCGCCGTGCTCGTTGGTTGCGCGTCTGAGTCCGAGTGAGATAGTCGGACGTTCGAATCCCGCTCCGGACCACGGTTGGCATTAGGAAGGGCATCCAGGCGGGCAAAAGCGGCGTTAACTCAAACATTGAATGTTCCACAAGGGCACCGCCGTATCCCTCTCTCTCTATATATATGTGTATGTGTGTAGGGTGTAGGGTGTATCATAAATAAGACAATTGACATAATTAAGAACTTTGATGGCAAGTGGTAAACGTTATATGTGAGTGTGTGTGTGTAGGGTGTAGGGTGTAGGGTGTATCATAATTAAGATAATTAATTAAGACAT